TATAATTGCTTCTCGATGCTACCACACGGCTCATGGACTTCGTTGTCACCTGGTGTGAGTAATATATCCAGTCCATTAACCCCAATCAGTGTGATAGTTAATTTTAGCTTAAGAATAAATAACTGTGTTTGTTCAACGACAATGGATTTGTTACGACCAGCAGCTAGCAGATTATCACCCTGGATATTTATTGGTCTTACTAAGAAAAACCAAGAAATCAAAATATGGACCGGCGAAAGGAAGATAATTGTCATAATAAGTGAATGGGTCGTTTGAACAACAAATATGAACAGATGGAACGAAGTAAAACATGGAGAGTGAAGTGTTATGGTTCGAAAAGCTGTTTGGTAAGTATTTTGTGAGTGATCCATTCATAGCTTTCCGCGATCTTACATATCGATAAAATGAGCTGTTATTTAAAGCTTTCAACTTCAATCTTCTCAGAAACGTCGTAGTATCGAAGAAGTTTCTATAACGTCCTCCTATCTACACTGTCAAATGCCTTTTCATAATCAATGAAGTTGATGTACAGTGACAAGTTCCACTCAATTGATCGTTCGACGATGATCCGTAGTGTTGCAATTTGGTATGTGCATGATTGATCCTTACGGAATTCAGCTTGTTGATCTCAAAGTTGGACGTCTACTGTATCTTTCATCCGGTTCAGCAACACGCTGTTAAACCCTTTCCCTGGTATTGACAGTAGTTTGATGCCTCTGTTCTTTTCACATTTGCTCAGATCTCCTTGCTTTGTAATCTTGACGAGGTGTCCTTCTTTCCAGTCCAGGCACTTATTCCTCCTCCCAAATATTTTTGAATAGAAGGTGAAGCATGTTTGTAGTTACTTCGATGTCTGACTTCAGTGCTGCAGCGCACAGGCAAAAAGCGAAATTAATTATAAATAACTTTGGAAGTTTCCGTTTTCACAATCAAGTGAAGAAGTGTTTTTTTCATTTTGCGGTACATGGTATCTCGAAGTCGTTAAAAACTCATTATTCAAGTGATGTTACAATAGTTTTTCCATATTTGCATCACACATTGGCGATTATTTCCACTTGGCTATAATCTGAGAGTAGACAAACAACTTATTTTTATATAAAGCAACATTATTTATGAATATTTCGTCATAAAAACTTCATTGTCGTCAAGGCTACCAAAACTACGCAACACGTAACAATACCATAATAAGATTTATTGTTTTTCCTTTTTTTATTGCAATTTTGGCTGATTTTCACTATTTCGTGCTACTTTTACGGCAGAAATAGGTTAATAGTAAAAATAATAGCTGTACTGAGTGTTGCAAATGTTATGTATATGCTATAGATGATAATAACACACACCAAGATGTTAATATCACCTTCTACAGTTAGATATATAAGCCACCAAATTATTGTACTGCGGGAAATAAATCAGACTCGTGTGCTAGAGGTACAATAATGTGAAGATTTTACCAGTGACAAAGCCAACAGCTATACTACCTCTTGTACAGAGTTCCAAATTTTAGACTGCCCGTATTCTTGCAGGGTAGCTAATAGCAGAAATAAGTACTATAATAAAACGGTTACGAGGAAGCATTGAAATGCACGATTTTTTAAATTAAGATATCTTAATCCTAAGTGAGGTCGAATATGATGATCTTCGGAAATCAACCAAGGCGTGTCTAGCTTACGTGCTGTTGTCAGAAATGACAGTTACTTATACCTTACATGGGACTAAAATAAGATAGGCATCAGTAATTGAAGATTCCACAGGACGATTCAAATTAAGTTCATATAGCAGTTCTTATATATGTAGAGAGAACCAAATAATACAATCCATGTATGCTGCTAACGAGGCCTTACTAAGCGACACAAGAAATAATGTAAATAAGTGCGGGTTACTATCCAAAGAAAGGGTGTGGCAAACGCACTTTCGATCTGTAATTGAATACCAGTTTCTGTATTTATATTACTTTCTGGTAAACATTTTGGCTGAAATAATTATTTTCTGTTTATCTTATTTTCAGTTGGCTTTGCAAGTGTTTACAAACCTAATTGGAAGTTTTTAATTCAGCAAACATTGTTATACCATTGATACGCACTATGAATTCATAGGTTGGATAATGACTATGATATGCTGCATTCGTGTAACAGCATAGGTTGGTTGGTTAAGAGTTGACCCTAAACACGAAATTCGTTTGTCTGCTGTAAGCTATTTGGCTGTTCTGGTACTGCAATTGTAATACAGATGTGTGACCTTTCCCTTTTGTAGAACACTGTGAATGAAAGTTCAACGCCAACGTAATGTACTTAACTAAAACACATGAGCAATTCTTAAGAATTGGAAGTTATTTGCTAGTAGATCACTTGTGCGTTTTAAACTTTACTAAACGTTTTCATTTATACCGCATCAGTCTTTTAATTACTGCAATGCTTATCAATCGTGACAGACCGGAATTTGACCTAGTAATATAGTACACCATGTTCAAGGTTGCAGTATTTGGTAAACGGTCGGTATGAGAAATCAACCTGGTAATTGTCACAAAAGGACGCGAACCAACACCCCAACTTCTCACAGCCACATAAGACTGCACAGTACACTCTCCCTGCTGTAACGCTATAGGAACAAGTTAATGGCCATATAAATGAATTTATGTAAAACTAAAAAGATTTTAATATTCGAACTTCTTGTTATCAAGAAGCAAAGCTATGGTCGATGAGAACAATGAATTCTGACGATGTGGCTTCATCATTAGCACCGATGGAACTCATAACTTGTGCGTATATGTTTTCCGATGCTTCGAGGCATGAACGGAGGTTCACTAAGAGCACGGTTTGGGTGGTAGTTGTCATTGAACTTCTCTAACAGATCTTCACTCCCTATAGAGATCGACATGCTATCCAGCGCACGAAGAACCAAGTCCATCATGTATTTCCTTGTCCGCTGGCTGCTATGTCGAAGTAAGTCTACAATACTTATAGGGACAAATAAACACACACTTACCTCCACGAATTAGATCCTTAGAGTGAGCATACAAAATACGACCACAGGGCATGTAGTCATTGAAACGCTCACAAGCACATCGTGCACGTGAAGTATCAACAACGTACATCATAACCAGTGGATATATTCTTCTGCTATAAATTCATGTCTCATTTTCCCAACATGTTTATAATTTACCTGTACAATATTAATTGCAAAAGCTGTGAACTTATTTAAAATAGTTCGGAATGACATTGAAGCCTGGGATTATTGATACATTTAACTATATTTCTTACCTCAAGCAATAGAAAATTTTGAAGATCCTTTACAGCATCATATGGACGCAAATGTAGGTCAGTGTCTGTTTTACTCCAAATGTCCCAGAACGTCAATAGAAGAGAATCACCTCCTATGGGACATTCTTTTAGGTATTTATGAGCACTCTCGACACCATTGTTCGAGTGGGTGCTCAGGTTTAGCACATGCCGCGGGTAACAGTGAGCCCTCATCGACTTCCGAGTAATCCAGTTATCTCTTATCCAATCAAATGCCTGTGGAAAATGGGTTCTTAGGTGTTCATACTTCTGAGTAAGTCTGAATATAATGCGTTATGAAAAGCGATGCTCACATGTTAGATTGCCTGGTTTCTATGAAATGTTCCAAGCATTTGCGTACATAAAAATTTCTGAAATACAGCAAATAGTTTGTTTAGTTAACATTTACCTTCCTGAAAAATGCTCTTAAGAAATGGAATGAGCACAGTATTATGTTGGCATGACTGTGAGTAGACTATAACGCTGGAATTTCGGTCGCTGCTGAATCCATAACGAAAGTACGTGTATCATAAATACTACACATTATGTCTTTGAGGCATTCTAGTAGTCTTACAACGTCTTCTCATCGTTCTTGCCTGCGAAGAGCATACATAATAGTGCGTCCTTGCCCATAACTATCAATAGTCACTAGCTGGAACAGTGGAAAACCTTATTACCATTCGTTACTTACACAACTGATAAGTCGAGTCAACACATACTACCTCTGGGAACGCGTGGAAAATAGCCGTTATTTCCCTGGGACTGAAGCAAATCATAGATATGTTCCCATGTTCATTGAAAACTTTTACTTCAGTGTTTGCTTGAACACACTGTAAAATGTCGTTGATATTTTTAGTGTCTGAACTCATTTAAGTACAATGTGAGTTCAACAACCTTGGTACAACTGTGAACACATTTTGGCGATATCGTCCTTAGAAAGCTGTTTATGGGACTTCTAAGAAACCAGATGCCGTAAACTACGGGTTGGTGTATTGCTCAATAGAAACGTCCTTAATTATAAGCGTTCACTTGACGTCAACTTTCGTCTGAAAGGATCAGCAGAAATATATTCTTCAGTGCAAGGGTGGTTGTGAACGGTCTTAATAGAGGTGACTTTTAGCTCACCATTTCCTGCACGGACATAAAATCCGGATTGACAATGGCAATATTTCGACCTGATGGATAAATTCATTTGAATTAAGGCATACGTAGATGACCGACGTCGACCTCTTTGTCCGGGTTGTGTTGGCGAGTCAGAAGTTGTGTGCTCCTCGGAAGAATGATGATCACTATCATCATCTACATTCTGAGCGCAAGCATCTGACTCTGACGAACTGCGTTTACGTCCATATGTACAGACATACCTCACGAAAAAATACTTTAGAGTTGAGTCATCATTGTTCTTTTTACATACTGATATAACGTACTTAATATGTATATACTACAAAATTAATTGTTAACCACAGAATTCATATTATCTTATGTACTTCTTTCAAACAGGTCTCAAAATTGTCCCGACTTGTAAATCGTCGAGATAACGCAATATCATTGAAGATTCGTCCTATATCATGGATCATCACGATGGCATCGTCTTCGTTACTTGAAGGATGGACGTTATCGGACATGGTGTGGTTGAACTCAATTCAAATTCAAAAATATTTCGATTTGACCGCTTCTGAAAATTTTCACGAATTGTCGATGTGACGCACCAATCATTTTGCGACAGTTTGACCTTCAAGTACTCGCGGTCTTCAACAGTGCGCGATGACTCTAAGAGTGTTGTGATGTAATAGGCTTACTTAAGCGTTTTCCCAAGAATTTAGTAAGTACCTAGTAATTTTTTGGTTATCTGCATAACAATGTACAATTACTGACTGGAGATTATGTAAATTTCTGTACTGGTTTTGTTTTTTGTAATCCCATGTTTTTTTAAGGGACAAAATCTGAAACTTTATAATAATTGACTGACGAGTTGTTACGTGAAACCTACCGTCACATCGTTAATACATCAGAACTCGTTCTTTCTCATAATTCTGCTTCTTCGTGTTCATTGAGTCATCGTTCGTGCATACGTAATAGACTGCTGAACCACCAAACGTACTTCTGTCTTTCCCCACAGTTTACTGAAAACAACTTACTTGTAAGTTATACATATCTTTTACAGGCTAAATAGTCCAGCTTACTAAGATGGCCACTGTTGACTTTTTAAGTACATTCTCTCGGCTTCCTAAACTTATCGTGTTCGATCTCGGTAGGAAAAACAGTAAAGTTAACTTCATTTCTAGACTTCACTCTATGGCCTCTGTGGTGCGACACTCACGTTTATCCTCCATTCATACGAAAGTGAGGCTCGTATAAATTTTTTTATCATGATTGGTGATTTGTTAGGAATAACACTGTATACGATGCTAGTGAGAGACGAGTTGATGTGTACTCAGATGCGCAAGTAATATTGAGGTAGAAATTTCGTGAGATGTACTGTAATGTATTCACTACTTTACAGGATGATCAAAGAGTCTTCGAAAATTAAATTGGGATGTGCTTCGCGGTAAGTGCTAACCCTATTCATCGTATATTTTACTTGAATGTGTGAGTAACTGTTAGTTATGTCCATAACTGACTGACTAAATCGTTGCTTGAACGCCCACTACGTCAGTCTGGTCTGTTGTGTCTGTAGGTTATCTCTGTTGCATATGACCTGCCAGTAGAAGGATATTATTATCGTATTATTTTAGTGTGACTGGTAATTTTTATTCATTTTGATAAGGCACGTACTACTGGTTGGTTTGTTTGTGCGTTTAACTTGACGACTATAATTCCCTTAATTACGGTACTAATTGAGTTGTCTTTGCGTTTAAAAACAGATCAAGTTTAAAGCCACGTTGTCCTTGTCCTGACTATAGCTTTCACATAGACTCTGGGGTTGTCAGTATTGCGAAAGGTACTTGGTTCGAGTTCCGGTGCGGAGATCGGAATCAGGAGCAGGTACATCCAGCTCTTGGGTCTCAAAAAGGGTAAGATATGCACCCCAAACCTCACTACTAGCTACACTTCATCTATTCTATAATTCAGGATAGTCCATATGCACGTATCACATATATAGCACATCTGATTTCGAAGTGAAATTCAAATATACATAATAGGTCGCTAAGCACATCGATAGTTAGGTATAACATGGGATCTGAAGGAAATTTCTGATACGTTACTTTGCATCACATACATTTAAAATGAGGATATTGGTAAAGAATCAATAAACTAGGAGTGAATAAATCAGTGTTAAGTGAAGAATGGCAGTAACTAGTGAATATTAGGGGTATTTGAATTATTGTACAAACCAGGAATCTCAGGAATAACGCGACTTAACTAAGAAGTATTAGATAAGCACAAACAAACGTATCGTATTTGGAATTCGGAATCAGACAGTCATCAAGCACAAAGACCTCCAAATGCCCTCGCACGTATGAGGATGGGGAAAGTCAGCTTTCCTTCGAGAAATGATCTCACATGACTGCGCGTATATAGCCACTTCCAGGAAAGTCCTACTCACTGCCTTCTTGTGGCCCGGGTGTTTACGAAATTGAGAGGATGGAAAGCGAATGTCCAGCGCTTTAACCGGGTTGGTGAACCTTGAGAGTTCACCTAGGGAGTTGGAGAACCCTGATTCCAAACAAATGGTCACATGGGCTCCATGATCCTGAGGGAACAAATGGCGTACGAACCAATCGTTGGTCACCTGCTACCATGGGACTGAGTCTTCTGATGTTGCCACTGCCTTGTGGATTAGACCTTAAGGTCGAAGGCTCCTGGTGTGACCTGAGAAAATCACCCGCTTTTGTTTGGACAACCAGGCAGTATCACAGCCAATAAATAAATCAAGTGACTTGTATGGCGCGTATGTGTTCAGTACCCTTTTGTACCAATGTTTATGTGATCAAATAAAGAAATAATAATAAACGAGTACAAAGGAATCGTTAGTTCATACAAACACCACATCCGCCACAGCTTAAATTGGAGTATATGTTTCTGTAATCGATTGTACGTCTTCTCCTTAAGTTCATCCTGTATCTGTTCGACAGTGCATTGGATGTAGACTATGTATTATCTAGAATGTACTCATTAGTATTAGAATTAACAATCGAAATCGAGACGGACTCACTTGGGTCCTGGAATTGTATAGTTGTGTAATGAAACCACATCTAGAATTTGAACCACAGATTTTACAACACTATCCTCCCCCACGAAATAATGTCGGGTTTTCATATCCCCAAGTTATGAATAATGTGGTTTCCTTTAAAACATATTTCTCACGCTGATTAGAGGATTTACTAGAAGTGACTTTATGATAAGGATAAACAACAGTTGATATGAAATCATCCGAATTGTAGTCAAAGTCAAGCTCGTTTAGTACTCGTGCTTCACATTGAACAAGTTTCCCACAAGAAACAAGTGCATTAATAGGACAAACAATACTTGGTATTATGTCAGGATTTGATTATTCTGAAATATTTTCCTCAAATTTATTAAGAATATCATTTAAGAGTAATGGATCATTAGAAAAATCAGCATCTATCAAAACTGCATCAGATTTTCGATTATGATTTGGTTCATTCAACATTTTTTCCTCAGATTTATAAGAAACTTCAGAAATATGTGAACCGTTAGGATAAACCATATATAGTACAATAACATGAGAAATTCGATAAGTTGATTGACTAGGAGCTTTTGTCTCAATGATTCTGGGTTTCACTTAACTCTGAACTGCTATATTACTCTATACTGTTTTTCGAAGTCGTGTATAAAAAAAAGATCATTAGAAACACTCAACTTAATAGGACCAGAATTACAAAATTTAGCATTACTTGCAGCGAAATGAATAGTAGTATTACAAACTGCCTGTATGTGTTCAATCATATCATATTTAAAACAGTTAGCATTACGAAATATACATGAATTACGTGAAAGTTGCCACAAAACAAACATTTACCAAGTTTGTGCTCACCTCCGTTATCTGCTCCTCAACTCCTCAATGAATTACGTGCATTACCCTTAGTATCTATTGGATTTAGATGACGTAGTAATTTAGTAGAACTCTCGATGCCCTGAAAAATCATGAAATTTTTCTCCTTTACCACATTCGAAATTTGTACACATTATATGTATTTATTGATTTATTTGAACACACAAACATTGGTACAAAAGGGCACTGAATACATATGCGCCACACAAGTCACTTGATTTGTTTGTTGGCTGTAATACTGCCTGGGTGCCCAAACAGAAGTGGGTGATTTTCTTAGGGAGCCACGCCCAGAGCCTCCGACCTAAAGGTCTAATCTACAAGGCAATGGAGCCATGAGTGATGAGATCAATGCGCGTATAGTGAAAGCCAGAGTGGCTTATGCCAACCTGGGCCACCTTTGGCGCCTTCGTGATGTCAGTCTGGCTGTAAAAGGTCGGATCTACAACGCGTCGGTGAGAGCAGTGTTACTTTATGCTTGTGAAACCTGGCCTCTCTGAGTTGAGGATGTTAGACGACCTTGTGGTTGATCATCGCTATCTCTGAAAGATTGCTGACATTCCGTGGCAACATCGAAGCTGCTACCTTGACGCGGTGGTCGGGCTTGCCTATCGTGATGACCCAACCGAGCTATGTTGGCTGGAACATATGTTCCTGTAGGTTCTACCATGCCAGGCAAGTCGATTGGAGAACGTTAAGAGTAAAAGCAGCAACTCAAGGGCGAAGTCGTACTGCTGACTGTAGAGGGGTGTGACAACAGTAAGGTGTTTCCCTCGGACAACCAGCATCTGCAGCGATGCTGCCTTCCGACAAGGAGGGGTGGGGTTAGAAAAGGTCGACCCTAAAAATGTCACACCTCACCTTACCTCACGGATTTCCGTCTCCGGCGGTAAGGCTCTTTGAAGAACGGAGCTAACACATTAAAAATCTTCCACAAAAGGGCCGTGCGCGACTGGCCTCAAGCAGTTGTCCCTTGGGCTCTGCGGTCACGCTCACAGGTCGTTAAGACCAACACCAATCCAATTTCCTTTTCAGGTTCCTCAAGAAATACCCTTCCACGGTGTGGGCAGCCGGGAAGTGATATCAGCCCTCATATCCTTAACAGCACACGAGACCAAGTTAGTCACATTCAAATCCTTCCTACACCTTCTAATACCTCTCTTATCTCTATGACTAACCCTCCTCATGTCTCTGTATCATCTCGCGCCGCTAGGGCAAACGATTCAAGTACGCGGAACGTTATTCCTGGTCTCCTGAAACCACACTCTCAACTACACGTAGGAGCTTTTAACGTCCGAACACTGTGCCAAATAGGACAGCAGGCTTCCTTAGCTAGGACTTTAGAATCCCGCGCCATCGATGTGTGCTGCGTCCCCGAAACGCGCATACAGGATCCGAGTAGCGTCATTCATCTGACCTCACCATGCCAAAATAAAGAACCGACTTGATTCACACTTCGTGTTTCTGGAAGCCCTGATTCTGCTTCCCGTGGCCTCGCCGGCGTAGGTATAGCATTGAGTCCTAGGGCAGAACTAGCTCTCTTAGAGTAGATCCCAGTAGACAGTCGTTTGTGCGCTGTCCGACTGAAGGGAACAGTAAGGATCCGAAAAGATAGGGACACTCGTCGTTGCCTCTTCGTCGTCTCTGCCTATTTTCCCACTGACTGCAGCTTAGATGATGTAAAAGATGAGTTTTAAAGAAAGCTCTCCGACTTCCTCCTAAAAGCTAGGCGCTCAGATGTAGTAATAATGGCCGGTGACTTTAATGCTGAAGTAGGTAAACTAAGCGATAGGGAAAGACACCTGGGTGGATCTTATAGTGTCATGGCTGAAAGAACAGATAATAGCGACCGTCTGTTGCAGCTATGCTCGGATAACCGCCTCTTTCTTGCAAATACTAACTTTAGGCATAAGGAAAAACATCTTTTAACATGGAGACCCCCTAATTCGTCCCAGCGTTGGACCCAAATAGATCACATCGCCATCAGCCACCGATGGAGGAGCTCGATAGAAGACTGTCGCTCATTCTGGAGCACATGCTTAGATTCAGATCATGCTCTAGTACGAGCGCGTATCTGTCCGCGTCTTACTGGACGTAGAAAAGACACTGCAAGGAAACCTCTTAGGGGCCTACTTAATGATAATCAAGCTTAGAGTATATTTCAGGAACAACTAGGAAAACAGTTAGGCAGCCATGTATGTGATGCCCACCCCGAGGCAGCATGGAATGATATCTAAAAAGCTGTGGAAACAGCAATGATATCTGCTAGTACGGTAACCCGTAAGGTTAGGGAGAAACACTGGATCTCAGCAGCATCTATCGCATTGATAGATGCTCGGAAACTCATTCCACCTGGCTCTGAACATAATGAAGAGCGGAGTCAGCTTGAGCGCAAGCTGACAAGAAGTCTACACAATGATCGTGAACAGTGGTGGGTTGCGAAAGCAAGAGAGATGGAAAAGGCAGCGGCAATAGGTAATAGCAGACAATTGTTCAGACTTGTTAAGGAAACCGGAATTAGGAAACCGACTGTTATCTAAACACTTTCAGAGAAAGATGGATATATCATACATTCTCAATCCAGGAGATTGGATCGATGGGCAGAACACTTCAGGGATCAGTTCAACTGACCTTCAGTCACACTTCGGTTTCCCACGATCTCCAGTCAACCTGAATGGCAAGTTAATGTAGGTCCTCCGTCTGTTTACGAAGTTGAAAAAGCCATAGGGAATCTGAAACGAGGGAGAGCAGCAGGCCCTGACAGATTTACTCCTGAGATTTTTAAGGATAGTGGTTCAGTATTAGCAGTGAGACTAACTGAGGTCTTAGGTAGAATTTGGGAACTGGATGTAATCCCATCTGACTGGTCTCAATCACTGATCGTGCCAGTTTTTAAGAAAGGACAAAAGTCCTCTTGTGACAATCACAGAGGAATCAGTTTGACTAATATAGTGTCTAAAATATTAGCTTCAATAATACTTCGACGCCTAACCAAAGCTCGTGAAGAGCAGACTAGAGAAAATCAGGCTGGTTTTCGACCTGGACGTGGTTGTATAGATCAGATATTCACACTACGTCAGGTTCTAGAACACAGACACACGTTCAGACGCCCCACAATGGTAGTATTTCTTGACGACATTTGACTCTGTTGATCGTAAGGTTCTATGGCAGTGTTTGTCACAGAAAAGAGTACCAAAGAAGTACATTAACCTTATACGGGCTCTCTACTCGAAAACAACTGGCCGAGTGAAAGCTTACGGCTAACTGTCAACAGAATTGATTATTTCAAGTGGTGTTCGTCAGGGCTGTCCACTCTCTCCATTCTTCTTCAACTTTGTCATTGACGTACTTTTAGAGATAACACTTTCCTCGTCTAGATTTCCAGGGGTTGAACTTCTACCAGGAGGTTCACTTGTTGACTTAGAATATGCCGATGACATAGTTTTATTTGGCGAAGACGCTGACAAAATGCAGAGTCTTCTGACCTCTCTAGGCAACAATGCAAGCGTGTTCGGGATGCGATTCTCTCCCTCGAAATGCAAAATGTTGCTTCAGGGTTGGGTTGCATCGACACCCGAACTAATGATAGGTAGTGAAGTAATTGAGCGTGTCGATCACTTCACTTATCTTGGAAGTCTCATCAACCCTTGTGGTCTGGTGTGTGACGAAATCTCAGCACGGATACAGAAGGCTCGACTAGCTTTTACCAACTTGCTTTATTTATGGCGTAGGCGAGATATCCGTCTATCAACCAAAGGACGTGTTTACTGCGCAGCAGTTCGTTCTGTTCTACTTTATGGCAGTGAAACATGGTCGGTAAGAGTAGACGATATTCGTAAGTTACTAGTATTTGATCATAGGTGTCTTCGAAATATTGCTCGTATATCCTGGGACCATCGAGTAAGTAATGCAGTTGCTAGGAAACGGGTACTGGGTAAGGATGGCAAATCAATTGATGAAGTGGTGAAACTTCATAAGTCGAGATGGCTGGGACACGTGTTACATATGCCCAACGACCGACTGCCTCGACGTGCGATGTTCAGTGGTATAGGAGTAAGTTGGAAGAAAGCTAGGGGCGGCCAGACCAGAACATGGCACAAGTCCATGAAGTCACTGACAAGTGGTCTGAGTCATGTCGGTAGGTGTAGACTACCTGGTTGGGGACCGCGAGATGATAGCAACCGATGGTTAGAGACTTTGAATGACATGGCTCAAAATCGTTTGTAATGGCGCAGGTGCATCCGCTCTTTGTGTTCTCCCAAATTTCGATCTCCTGATTCCTCCTTGTCTCCTTTTTTCTCTTCCCAAATTTGTTTCACTGTGTTATACTCTTTAAATAACATCTCCAAACACTGATCTTTCCGATAACTGCTTATACTCTTATTACCTCTACCACTACGAGGTTTGAATCGACCACGACATCTCTGTGCTAATGTGGTGTGGCAACTCGAACTGATGTACGTACGTACGAAGTTCTACGTTGATACTGACTGACTGGCTGAATGCAGGGGTTCGGCATCGTGTGTTCGGGCGCAGAGACGATAATCCAATTGTTGTCACCATCTTGAAACATTGACTTCGGTGGCTTCGACATGTTCTACGAATATCGTCCCAGTGAATTCCACGTCGTCCATTATTTGTCGACGCTGTGACTGGTTGGAAAAAACGGAGAGGTGGTCAGTGTATGACATGGTGTCGTAGTATGAAAGAAAGGTGCAAAGGACTGGCTTGTGTTGGTCCTCCACGACTCCCTGGCTGGGGTCCGAGAGGTGGTGCAACACAGTGGCTTGAGACGCTATCAGATATGGCTCAGAATAGAAGCTAGTGGTGTGCGAAGGTGCATCCACTCTTTGTGTTCTGCCAAATTCTAATCTTTCGAATTCTTCATGTCCCTTTTTATTGTCTTTCCAAATTCATTTCACAGGATTTTACTCCTTAAACAACAACTTCAAACCCTAATGTTTCCGATTACTGCTTATACTTTTATTACCTCTACCACTATGTGATGTGGTATTGCAACTCGAACTAATGTACGTTCGTACGAAGTTCTTCGTTATTGCTGACTGAGTGAGATAACTTATACCTTTTTTGATTGTATTCGATTTGTTGAAGTCGTTCTCTGTATAATAATTAAATTATAAGGCCTAGTTGCATAGATTAATTGGCTTTTCTAATACAAGGAATCTTCTTTCTTTTACGAATGTATCTACATTCGTTTGAATAAATATTTGCCGGGAATCATTTTATTCTTAATAATAAATCATTCTCTCTGTTATCTTATTTGATATTGAAATTGTTTTTTATTCAGGCATAAATCACTGCTTTTTTATCCCATGTTTGTCATTTTTTCAGTACTTCCGCTGTCAATGTTGCTCGACAACTTCTACAAGCTCTTAATTGGTCGGATTTATTTGATTACACAGAAATCTACCCTGGGTCTAAAACTGCTCACTTTAAAAGGTATATATTTATTGGTTTCACATTTAATTTTTAAAAAAATACGGATAAGATCCTAAGAATGTATAATTTTGAAAAGATTTGTTTTCAAATGACTAAATAAACAACGTTTCAGTTGCTCTCCCAAATTCTAATCTTCTGAATTCTTCATGCCCCTTTTTTCCTCTTTCCAAATTTGTTTCACTGAATTATACTCTTTAAATAACATCTCCGAACCCTAATCTTCCCGATCACTGCTTACACTCTTGCTACCTCTACCACTACGGGATTTGGATCGATAACTGCATCTCTGTGCTAATGTGGTGTGGCAAATCGAACTGGTGTACGCACGTACGAAGTTCTACGTTGTTACTGACTGACTGTTTCAGTTGCTTAGAAATAGTCTAGGGTCGGAAAGTTTAAAAAACGTATTGTACATCTCTATCTAGGTGATTTTTCGAAGACCGTGTAGCTCAATATCTGTAACCATAGACAAAGACCACCCTATAAAATTCAGTCTGAAATTTAGTGTTCTGTTTTAGTTTGGCAGCACAATAATTATCCAGCATTGTGCTTTTGGGTATTCTACTTCTTTTTTAGTCAAATTAGTTTATGTTTAAGCTGATTGTTGCAGTAGTTAACCCTTTTCCGGCTTGAAATTTTCTGATAAATATATGGTCAGCAAATGCATTTCACACACAAAGCATACTTTCTGTGATATATTAAATACGTAAAATTGTCTTCTCTAGCCCTTATCGGACTTGGTTACTTGGATTACCTGATAACACTACGTCATCTAAATAGTCCTCAAATCAGAACACAACTGTAACAGAAAAGTAATTATATTCCAAAAACGAAACAGCTGGCCAAGTTGAAGTTTCAGTAAAAAAAACTTCTAATGTATTTATAACTTTTGTACAGAAAGATTCTAGAGTCTTCTCCATTTATCTGCTTGTGGTCATTGGCTGGGAATGGGCTAATCAGCGTGCCCCAACATAATCGTGTATGGAACATGCTTTAATATAGTATTTTTCCTGTTAACAAGGGCCGATCGATAAAAGTCCTCAGACTACTTTAATTAGAACCTACCTTTCAGCCAAACTAATAATCCTCGATCAATTCAACTAATGATTGATAGACACCTGTTTCTTGTTATCTTCAATCATTTTCCAAAATTATTCTCGAAATAAATAAAAACCTTTCACATTTTCATTTTAGTCAGTCAGTCGTGCGTAATGTAAAAACCTGGCAAATATGTGCATCGGCTCAAATTATCATACTACATTACTACAGTAGAATAAAATTACCAGGAACATTTTTAGAGTAATGGAAGTTGTAACGGTATTGGTATTGGTAGTAGTAGTGTGGTGCTTGCTACTTATAATGATATAAGTAGTATATGACGTGAGTTAGGAATGTAATGTCTGGCAGCAGAAGATCAAGAAAGGAAGAGCGGAAATAGAAAGCAATTAGTATAAAAACGCAAGAACAACGAAGTTCGAGACAATTATTGAACATTTTACAAATTAAGTATTATAGTATGGTTTCTCTATTTTACAAAGTAACTGTAATTTTGTGCTAAATACATTCAATCGTCCCTCACCCTTGTTCTGTTCACTACAGTACTAATAGAAAAGGTTAGGTATAGATAATATTATTCTAAAATAACAAATAAATTTACTGAATATAGAGTGTAAATTAATGTAAAGCGAAGATAAAGAATGAATGCATATACTCCATTACGAATGATTCTGAGCTATACCACTTAAAATCTCCAACCATTGTTCACGATGATTGTGTATACCCTAATTTCGTATTCTGAACCTATATACTTACCCCAAATGCCCTGGTACGGCCGAGAGTGGGGAGAGTCCGCTCTCCCTCTCGAAATACTCTCACACGGCCACGCGTATATAGCCTCTGCCAGGGAAGTCCTACTCACTGCCTTCTCGTGGCTGGGGTGTTGTTTACGAAAATGAGAGGACGAAAAGCGAATGTCCGGCGATTTAACCGGATTCCAAACCAATGCTGCACATGGGCTCCAGTATCCTGCGGGAACAAATGGAGTATGAACCAATTGTTGGTCACCGGCTTCCATGGGACTGCATCTCCTTACGATGCTCCACTGCCTTGTGGATCAGACCTTCAGGTCGAAGGCTCGGGGAGTGGCCCCCTAAGAAAACCACCTGCTTCGGTTTGGGCACCCGAGCAGTATCACAGCCCTCACACATATCGAATGAGATTTGTGTGGCGCATATGTATTTGGTGCCTCTTTGTACCATTATCTATGTGTTGAAATAAATAATATACTTACATAGTTTAGTTTAGTTGACAATGATTTCTTGAATTAATAACACATTTTAGTTTGATCATCTTTCACTTTCTTTAAATCTACTTGTACATTAGTCACACTACCTTCAATGATAATCTATTTTTTTCAATACTTATTTACTCTCTCTCTATATTTTTTTGTAGATTTCATGAATTATCTGGTATAGACTATGCGGACATGTTATTTTTCGATGATGAAACTCGTAACATTCATGAAATTTCTAAATTAGGTGTACAATGTCATTTAGTTCAACATGGAATAACATTAAATCTTTTAGAAGATGCATTAAGAAAATTTCAACAACAAAGAAGAATTCATGAATATTTAAATTAATTAAGTTTCTTTTTTGTAATTTGTAGTTATTCCGTAAATGCAAAATTATTATTATTATTATTATTATTATTATTATTATTATTATTATTATTATTATTTGAAGAATAAATTGTTTTGTTGTTGTGTTTTGAAGAAGTACATTATATTTTTGTAATGAATCTGTTATAGAGTGGTATATTACTCCTAAAAATCAGTAGTAAATTGTAGTAGTATTTAATGGAAAATACAGTTCATTTAGGAAAAAAAATATATTAACAGAAAGAATCTTTTTATTCAAAGAAGTTTCAATTTGATGAAAAGTACTAGAAAAAGAGAGCTACGATAGTATTAGTGTAGGTTTGTAGTTTGAACCATGTCCGATAACATCTTAAGCCTATGAGTTGGACTATATCTCGGAAGTTGTAATATACCTAAACATTTTCCTTCCATACCTCTGTGCCATACAGTAAACTATCTCTCTGATTCTTTCAAACCGACCTCAGCGTTAGCAATAATAGTCGATATGAAAGTCACTGAGGTGACATTTATAGTACATCTTCAAGGCAAGATGCACGTATGCCGAATTGCAAGTGGGAATAAGTGAATTAAATTTATTTTGTTCATCGACCATTCTTACTACTTGGACAAGGTAGTTGCAAACATTTGCTCCAAAATTTATATACCAAATACAGTTAAAAGTGCTGCATTTGCAGTCATTTTGTTATCACGGACATGCGTGGTCGACAAAGCAGAATTCATTTTTTGGAAGCACAGTTGAATATCACTTCGAATAGAAATAGTTTTTAATAATTTGTAATTTTACATATTCATAAATAGTTCACTGACGAATTCATCATAATCAATGGTAGATGTAATACCATTTTACATTCGACTTCCGTTGAAATACCTGACTAGTCGAATATTCTGTCAAATATTTAAATAATTAAATTATTTCGAGATTTTCTGAATTTCTGGTGACTGTGTTGAAAATATGATTTTGTCTTTTAGCTACTGACAAATTATAAGTAGTTATAAAGTTTTAAGCTTTATTTTATATGGGTCAATCATTTTTTATGCTAAAGAATACAATTTATCAACACTTTGCAAAATATTATTGCTAATAATAATTTGCGAATTATTTATCTTATTCGTAGCAGAGAGTCATTACTATAACTTTAAGGCATAGAACGTTGATGATGTCACGAAGATAGAAATCCATCGAAAACCAGGAGTTTTCTTAATATCTATAACATTTAATAAACCCCATCAATCTCTTATACTGTTGGTTATCATATTTTTACTAATGACTAATCGCAGAAGTTATTTCTGGAATTCTAATGAGAAGTCATGATCAGTGAAATTGACATGTGTCGGATGTACGGCAGTTATTCACAGAAAACATTAGGAAATGATCGAGCAACATCGTGGAATTAATGGAGTTAACATGGTACAACATTGAATTCCGACTCGATAAACTAGATGTTTAAGTTTCGTGAATAATACCACAGGGTATAGGTTTGACTCTTGGTGTAATTTTGTATATGCGCTTGTCAAGTCAGAAAGGAAGAATTGAACACACTTTAAGGTATTATATTTAACAATTTGCATTAGGCACAAAAAATATATAAAGGGATAATCGTTTAGCATGAACAGCAGAAGGACTTTTATGTGAGTTGCTTTACAGGTGCATCTGTAATTTTCGTATGTCAATCATTCAGTTAACATGGAATAAGTGAGTTTACTCAATGTGAAGATATAATTTCATCATTCAAGACAAATAACTAAAATAATTACCATTATTTAACTTTAACAAGAAGAATGCAAGCGTACTAGTAAAATTTATTCGACTGTCATCAGGCGAATTTCAAGTCTTTCTATATTTCCTATTGTACACATCTATATATGTATATGAATATATTTAGCTAAACTGTTGTATTCGATACACTTGAATCACGTGTGTTGTCAGAAACGTTTATCACGTTATAGTTTTAATATCAAATTTCCGGAAGATTTGTCCATGTATATGTTTATCGATAAAGGCAGGGAACTAGATTAAAACTAAGTGTCTAAATGTTATGGTAATCATTGTTAATATGTAAAGTCTTGTGATGTGCGGTATCCGAAATCTGGTACTGATACACGATATTCTATGCTCTAACCCCTCCTTCCTCAATTGACTACTTGAGCGAGAACACAAGAGTGAGCGAGAAATGTATAAATACTCATATATATATATATTCATTGTTTTTCAAAAACACTTAACTTTGTAACATTACCGTAGAGTCCACTGACATGAATTAGTTATTTGGAGCAGATTTTTGTTCGTGGTTGTTAAATTCATGTATAGTTATGTTGTTAGAGAAATAAGAATAAGTGAAATTCGTATTAATACCGTTGAATGACGACTCAGCGGTCTAGGGGTTAAAAGTTCGCGCGCGAGACTGAAGGTCTCGTATTCGAGTCCCATGAACATTAGGGCTTGAAGATGCTATTTGATGAGTATAATCCAGTGAAATGAATTTGGAAAGAGAATGAAAAGGGGCATGAAGAATTCGAAAGATTAGAATTTGGGAGAACACAAAGAGTGGATGCACTTGCGCCATTGTAAACGATCTTGATCCATTACATTCAGGGTCTCTAACCATCGGTTGCTATAATCTCGCGGATCGCAACCAGGTAGTCTACGTCTACCAACATGGTTCAGTCCACTTGTCAGTGACTTCATGGATTTGTGCCATGTTTTGGTTTGGCCGCCCTAGCTTCCTTCCAACTTACTCCTACATCATAAAAGATCGCACGTCGATGCAGTCGGTGGTTGGGAATACGTAGCATATGTCCCAGCCATCTCAACTTATGAAGTTTCACTATTTCAACAATTGATTTACCATCCTTACCTAGTACCCGTTTCCTAGCAACTGCATTACTTACCCGGTGGTTCCAGGATATACGAGCAATGTTTCGAAGACACCTATGATCAAATACTAGTAACTTACGAATATCGTCTACTCTAACCGGCCATATTTCACTGCCATAAAGTAGGACGGAACGGACTGCCGCGCAGTAAATCCGTCTTTTGGTCGGTAGACAGATATCTCGCCTACGCCATAAATGGAACAAGTTGGTAAAAGCTAGTCGAGCCTTCTGTATCCGTGCTGAGATTTCGTCAGACACGAGACCACAAGGGTTGATGAGACTTTCAATATAAGTGAAGTGATCGACACGCTCAATTACTTCACTACCTATCATTAGTTCGGGTGTCGATGCAACCCAATCCTGAAGTAACATTTTACATTTCGAGGGGGAGAATCGCATCCGGAACATGCTTGCATTGTTGCTTAGAGTGGTCAGAAGACTCTGCATTTTGTCAGCGTCTTCACCAAACAGAACTATGTCATCACTATATTCTAGATCGTGGATGTACACTGTTCAAGAGTCTCATACTAGAATGAAACGACCATTCATTGCTTCCAGGTTTTCAATAGTGGTCTCGCTTCAATTAACTTATGAATTCAACTATTAAAATTATGATCATCTTCACAAATCTCATTCTGATTTATTTATTTATTTTATTTTGTTTACGGGTTGTTTTAAAACAATCAAACAAATTCTTAAATTAACATTAAACATTAATTAACATCTAAGATAACAACTGAGATTATTTAATGTTACACTGTTTTGTTTTTTTTAAATTAACGAATAAACTATCTTACAATGATGATAACAGGAAGTGTCCTATTAATAAGCTTACTAATAATTTATACTACTGATATTATTACCATTAGTAGTATTATTATGTCAAATAATTCTGATAGATGAATAGATAAAGAAAACACATATAGATGTATTATTTATTGACTAATGAACATGTTTATTTATTTGTTAATTATTATTATTATTATTACTGTTGAATTATTTTAAAGAAACAAATCATCTAATGTTCTTATTATCTTATTGTTAATATCATTCTGTGATGGAGTATTCAGTTGATGATACAGTTCATATCACAAAATTTTATAAAAAGATGATCAATCATAAAAAAAAAATGAGTCTATCAGATTAAGGTAATTTTTGTTCAATTAACTTTTAATATATTCTCGATGGATTTATGCAGTCAGAGTGAATTTTACTCTTTAATCAGGGAGTGAACCTGGGTTCGTTGTTGTCGCATACGAACGCTTATCCCCTTAGAACTCTGAGCCAGAATCTAGTAGTCTATAAGTCTAGCTTGAGTTAACCTATATTTTAATTGCGTGAAAGGTAGCCATCCAAAACAATGGTAGATGATCGCGCGATATCATAGATAGTTAGATTTATACGCCATTGGATTTTGACTCAATGGTCTAGATGTTAAGTGTTAGCGCGGGTGATCAAAGGTAATTGGTTCAATTCTTGTCTGCTATATTGTTGCAGCATACTGTAGAGTATTCCCTCACTAAAACTACATGAACATCCAATGTCCCACATATTTTTAATGGTTGTTTAATCTAGATCGATTTGTAATTTCGATGACATTCAACAATTTTCACAAGCCCGTACTCACAGTCAATATATAATTGATTTAACTCAAATGCAACTTAATTCTTCTAAATGTACCGTTCAATAAAAGCTTTTATATGACGTCGGACTTTTCACATTAGTTAGCGTGTAAGAAAGAAGAGGATAAATGCAACTGTATTCGTTGTATAAAAGTTTGAGTTGCTAAAGTTCAGGTAAGTAAAATGAAGATAACTATCCGATTTCTTTTAAGGTTAATAAATTTTATTAATCAGTTCAATTAGGAAACAACAACCGATAATAAAAACTGGGTAAATTTCAGACTACTGCTTCATTTTAATTGGAAACCCTTTATCAGCTTTCCTCCATAGCCCCACTTGGAATTAAACAGGTCACGAGGAAAGCTAGTACACTTTTATATCGTCAAGTCGAAACTCATTGACTCAAATTCGCTTGGAATTGTTTACTTGAACCTTCTCATTGATGTTTAGGAATGAAATTGATCAGTCTCTTATCGGCATATGTGTATACTAAGCGTATTGACTCAATATAGCCTTAATTCAAAAGCATTATAAGCACAGATGGATAGCGGTTAGCAATGAAATCCAGGATGAGCTTTTATTCCTTTTTGGGACTACTGGTCAGCTGTATGTGCTTGCATCCCA